ATGCACAGTCATCTGGAACAACAGTGATTTTAGCAGGACTTCCTTGACTGCCTATTTCCCTAATCTCTGTAAAGGTTGTTGGTATCACATTTTTACAATGCCTGGAGGCATAAATTACTCCACAGTCTGATCCAATTAAATTTGGACCCCCTTTGCTGGGGGAAGTTTTTGAGGTTTAATCTGACCCCAGGAGGACCCTTCTTAGCTATCGCTCTTTGGTTCTCTCTGGTAAGTTGGCTAGCCCACAATCTATCTGCTGCCTTTCTGGGGTTATCAGTTTCCTCTTAATTGCTTACTACTAAATTCTTACTACTAAATTCTCTATTGTTTTTGAGAGCACCCTTAGGCTTGAACTTCCCCCACATTATTCCAAACAAAGTCAGCTCCTTTCAGGAGAGCTTCAGAGCTGTTCTTATAATATGCATATCCCCCAGGAAAAATCTCAGCCACTGCTCTGTAGGGTGAGGACAGTGGCCTGCTTCTGTAGGAGTGATGTGTCTGCTTTATAAGCAGGGCTCGGGACAATAGCCTTTAGTCTTCTTGGTTTGTCTTTCCTGGCATGGAAAATCCACTCTATGAATGAGGTAGGAAGAAGGTGATCAAGGCCCCAGTGTTCTTGGCCCACCTCACTTACAGCCTCCACTTTGAGTGGAAACTGTATGGAGGCAGTCCTTGACCCTTTGGTTAGACTCTCCTTGAATATCACCTCTGTATACAAGGTTGGAGGGGCATGAGAAATACTGGAAACCTGCCGCTCTCTGGGATATAACACAGCCTGTGATTGGGAGCTGGGGGGAGCACTATCTTCTTGGACATACGCACTTAGAGTAGAGCTTCTGTAGCACTGAGTCAGAATGGGCAGGGTTGATTTGGAAGATCATGGGTTGCAGAATAAAAGCCACAGACTTATGTTTTTATGGAGATTTAGTAGATTCTCTTGAATGTTTCTTCATTTGTTGCATCCCTTAGGACAATTTGCAGTACTTTAAGTGATTGTTTAGCTTTTTCTTTTCTTGCCAGTACACTGGAAAGTGAGTCAGCAGAGCTCCTCTGAAGTCATTCTGGAAGTCATTTTTTTATTCCATTATTGTTGATATTCTATAGTTGACCTCACAAAAGACGGTTTAAAACAATAAAGTTTATTTGTATCCCTTAGGACATTTTAAAAATGAAGTTTTGATAATCTCAAGACACAAAACACTATGAATTTAGAAAGGAACAAATAAAAATTCTCAATAGTTGAGTTTAAAAATATTTATCATTCAGAAATATCTCAGTAGAATAAAGCCATATTCAAGATAAAAAAATATATCAACACAAGGAATTATAAGAGAACATTACTTTGAGCAAACTTTTCTATTACCTTTAAGTATAATAATTATGGTTGCTTTTTTGCTTATTTGCAAATCACTGTTTGTTCCTTGGTATTTTTCTTTCATGTGAGTGATTTTATTTTAAAACACAAGATTACATAAAACCATAATGCCCAGAAACACCAGTTACCATCAGCCAAGCACAATGTTCTTCATTTACTGGTCATCCAATGTACATTACTCTTCCAATATAAGAAAGAGTAATAACCACGCAGGTAAATCTGTTTTTTCTTTAAATGCTATTCAGGGTGAACTATCTTTTTAAAATTCTGGAACACAAACAGAGTTTTCTTTATGTAGCTCAAATGCATTTTAAAATATATTATGTTGCTTACCACTGACTTTATAAAAGCCATAGGTGTTACATACGTGTATGCACAATTTTTAATAATAAAAGATTATCATGGAATATTATTTTAAGCTAAAAAGTACATATTGTGAAATTTTTCATTTGCCGTCACCATTATTGTTATGCTTCTAAGAAAGTGATCACAAAATTATAGTTAAAAGAAAAATATTCCCTATATACTCGGATATCCAAATCCAAAGTTTTGCTAATATGCTCTTACTGCAACAACATAATTATTCTTAGTGCACATAACAGATAAACACTTAGTAAACATTTACATTTTAAAAAATCTAAAACTTAAATTTGGAATGTGACAGTTCAAACTAAGCAGCAGTTCAAAAATGAGGTTTATACTTATATCATAAAGGGTAAAAAGAATGGCAACTGATTTTATTCTAATCTAGAAACCCATTTTTAATAACCTTAACAGAATAAATGCTTAAAGACAGAAAATAGATGACCAGTTAGCAAGTATGTTATAGAAGAGGGTTCTACAGGGTTTGGAGGTTAGACTAGTGTTTGATAATTTCTAAATCCCTTTCCATTATAAAAGTTCTCCCAACAGTTCTAGTATTAAGAAACAATTACTTCTTGCCACTACTGCCAGATTATGTCACACAGAAATGGAACTTTTAGTATCTGACTATATATGCTTACTATCAATTTCAATTTTCAGAATATGCTACAATCCACATGAATCTTCTCCCCATTTGATTCAGATTGAGACCCTGCCCCTGTTTGTTTCAGACTGAGTTTCACTATGCTTGAACAGAACAAATTCTGGCCTAAATATTTTACTTTCCTTGGCAATGTTATAAGCAACAGACAAAATGAATTTTAAAACCATTCAACAAATGTTACATCTCAAATTCATAAATAAGCACCTGCATCTCAAACTCCCTGTTAAACTACTATCATAAATTATTTAAATACAAGCAGTTGGTATACATGCTGCTTGCTCAGTTCTCCAAATGGGAATTTATGTCTGTTATGAAAGTAAAGTAGCTTCAGGTTAAATAATAATGCTAAGATATGACCGGGAGCAGTGCCTCAAGCCTGTAATCCCAACACTTTGGGAGGCCAAGGTGAGAGGATTGCCTGAGCTCAGGGGTTTGAGGCCAGCCTGGGCAACTTGGTGAGACTCTGTCTTCACAATAAATCAAAAAATAAGCTGTGCATGGTAGAGCGTGCCTGTAGTTCCAGCAACTTAGAAGGCTGAGGTGAGAGGATTGCCTGAGCCCAGCAAGTCGAGGCTGCGGTGGCTATGAGTGTGCCACTGCACGCCAACCTGAGCAACAGAGTGAGACTCCGACTCAAAAAATAAAATAAAATAATGCTAAGATGCTAAGTAATTACAATTACCACCTTTATTTTATTTATTTATTTATTTATTTATTTTTTTTTTGAGTTGGAGTCTCACTCTGTCGCCCAGACTGGAATGCAGTGGCCACCTCCTCAGCCTTCTGAGTAGCCGGAATTACAGGCATGCGCTACCATGCCTGGCTGATTTTTTGATTTATTGTAGAGATGAGGTCTCACTGCTCAGGTGGGTCTCGAACCTGCGGGCTCAGGCAATCCACTCACCTCAGCATCCCAAAGGCAATTACCACTTTTATAATTTAACCTGGATTCTTGGTTTTGGGGACACGTAGTGATTTGTCTTTTATGCAGGGGACATTTTAAAGTGAAGAGTTACACTTTTCAAAATATTTATCCATATATCATCCAGAAATTGCTAGAGAGATGAAATGCAAAAACAAGCTACTTGAACACTCTATAGCTTCTTTTTTCTTTTTTTGGAATTGGAGTCTCACTCCGTTGCCCAGGCAGGAGTGCTGTAGCACACCCATGGCCACCCCAGCATCAACCTGCTGGTCTCAGGCGATCCTTCCATCTCAGCCTTCCAAGTAGCTGGAACTACAGATGCACGCTACCACGCTCAGCTAATTTTTTGATTTTATTGTAGTGATGAGATCTCGCCAAGTTGCCCAGGCTGTTCTTGAACCCATGGGCTCAGGCAGTCCCTTCACCTCGGCCTCCCAAAGTGCTGGGATTATAGGCTTGAGCCACCACGGCCCGGCCATTTCTTAAAACAGTTATGAGTTCCATGACTGCATAACCAGTAAAAGTCCTCTGATTCACTAGAGTTAGTTCTAAGTGATGTTATCTGACATGTAATTAAGTAATCTTCTAATCATTACTTCTATTTTTGAGATACTGTTTCACTAAACATTGACTCTCTACAAATCAAACTGCTACCCACTGGCAGCTTGGCAATGAATGACAATAAAAACCAGATCTACAAAGACACTTTTGAACATTATTGTTTTATATCTTTAATACTGTCTTGAAAGATCTATTACTCTTCAACTATCTCAGTGTAATTTCAAATATAAAAGTAATTATTATAGTTGGATCAGTTATTCTAAATCTAAGTAGATAATTCCTATAGCAATATTTGTTTACTCAGAACATATTTTCATTACAAATATATGTAAAATTTCTCATAAAGTCAGAACGCAACTCACAGTTTAAATAGAAACCTCAGTGTTTAAATCTCAACATTCATTAAAGTAAACATTACATATTAGGTTGCTTTGGAATATAAATCACTCATTTAAGTAAATGTGAGATAATTTCTAACTTGTGTTCATAGTGAGGAAATAATATTTTTATGATGCCTTGACCAAAATTAATCAGTCAAGTGTAAGACTACCATATTATGATATAAATCAAGCTCTACTAACATAACACTTTTGTGAGAGATTGGATGCAGATATAACTACAGATGGGGAATGGATGTCCTTTAACTAGAGAGTGATGAGAGAAAAATGCATATCACGGATCAGGCCCCAATTTTAATTACTTCATTGATAAAATGCCTTGCTTTATTTATTGAAGAATATTTCTTCCACTGCAAATACTAGTTTACAATACTTGACAGTGGGGGACAAATAGAGCCCACCTTTAAAAAAAATCTACTCCTTATAAAGTTAGTAGATTAGATAAAGACTGACTCTTCATTTTCTGCTCTGAAGACAACCAAATCTTTTTTTAAGTGTTGTCTTGCCAATTTATCCTTGTTAACTGATTCAGAAAAATAAACGAAACTTCTGACTTTACATGTAAGAGAGTTTAACTGTATATATATATTCTGAGAAGTTTGAATATATGATATATTCTGAGAAGTTTGTCCATGATCTGACCCATACTGATGATTTACAACATAATGAAGTTCCCTCAATAAACAGTTTAAACTTAACATCCTTACTGCATCATTCTCATTACTTTTATGTTTACATAATTTCTATAAATATTAAAAAAACAAAAACACTCAATCTTGAAACCAACTTACACTGGAGGTCTGAGGTTAGTTTATAACTTTTAAAATATTTTGTTAAAATGTAAAAACCCTGAAATCACAAACAAAAAATTGTATAATTTTACAGTATATATCGAATTTATTTTTTAAAAAAATATTCTGAACTGTTTTTATATTAGTAATCAAGTGTGGTTTTTTCCAAATGAAACTCCTTTCTAGAAGGATAGGAGAGGATATGTGGTATTGCCCCATTAAAAATCAATATACATTTCGTTTTTTTATGCTGGTACTTCGACTATTTCAAAGTAGTCATTGGGTAGAATCACATAACCTCTTTCTGATGTGTCGTCTTTCTCTTTCTGGAAGTGTACAACCTCCTTCAGCTTCTCAAGCTGCCGTTCTTGTCTCCTGCATCGCTGCTGTGCAGTCTTGAGTTTCTTTCTGAGTTTTTCAACTTGCTGCTCTAGCTGATGAATCCTCTTCCTCTGGTGCATTGTATCCTCCACAGTATAGTTGTGGTCACAGAAAACTGAAAGATTATCAGGGGTCTGGAGAGGTGGCATTAGTAATCCAATAGCAGCATCTACCTGGGAAATGGGAGGTGTTAGAGGAGGCGGAGGAAGCTGTTCCTGTGGCTCCAGAAGATCTTCCTTCTAAAACAATAATACAGAGTATGTGTGAATTTAGTAACTGAAACAAGAGTTTAAAAGAACTAATCTGTGGAATTTAAGAAATATTGACTTTTTTTGTGAATTCATGGTATAGAAACATCCCAAAATGAGAAAAATCATTTCAGTTTTAATTAAACTTTTCTATCTGAAGTAGAAGAGGAAAACAAAAAAGAGATAAAATGATTCATTAGATTTAATTAAATACTAAGTATTTTTTAAAAATGCTTTCAACTGTATTGATTAAAAAACCCCCAAACTTATCAATATACAAGCTGGGATATACAGTGATCTTTACATAAGTTACTAATAAACTGCATTTTATGTTTTTGAAAAGTACAGCATTGTTAACAATGGTTATTTCCAAGTGAAAGGATCCAGGTTATTTTCTTGATTTTAACTGTAAATTTTCCAAATTTTCCACAATGAACACATTGATTTTATAAATAGAAAACAATTCAGTATTTTAAAACACATATTACCTTGTCATGTGGTTCAGTACAAAGAAAAATCGTAGGCACAGCATTCTCTTTCAGTAACTTGTTGTTGCACTCCCTCTTAAAGCAGTCTGGAGTAAAGTGCTCTGAACAGATACTGCTATACTTGGTGGGTTTAAAGTTTTTTCTTCTGACAGCTGCCTCCCATTTTTTACAGAGACTGGGTCGAGTAAGAGGAAACCTAAGAAGAAGATATCATTCAGTTCTCTGAGCTTATTTTAAAAAATAAAAAATTAAGTTACCCAAACTTTCCAGTTTAGGAAAGAACTTTGGTGTTAACATTCTAGGGAATATTTGACTAAAGGTTAACTCTAGTTGTCTGTTCATCTAATTTATTAATGTTTAACTTTCAATACTGAGGACACTAAATAATTGAAGTAAAATATATACTACAGATTAAATCTGTATTCATATATATATATATTTTGAGTTGAGGTCTTACTCTGTCACCTAGGCTGGGGTGCAGTGGCATAATTATGGCTCACCACAGCCTCAACCTCTTGGACTCAGGTGATCCTCCTGCCTCAGCGTTCTGAGTAGCTGAGACTACAGGTGCATGCCACTGTGCCCTACTCAATTATTTATGTTTTTTAGAGACAAGATCTCACTATGTTGCCCAGGCTAGTCTCAAACTCCTGGGCTCAGGAATCCTCCTGCCTTGGCCTCCCAAAGTGCTGGGAGTACAGGTGTGAGCCACTGCACCCAGACACTGTATTCATTTTTACCAGTAATTTTTTTGTGTGCGGCACATAAAGACAAAAAAATGCACATTTATGTCTATGTACTGGGCAAAAGAGAATTTTAGTTCTCCTAGAATCAGTCTGACAAATATGAATAAGCTAAATTTGAATTAAAAAAATTATATATGATAAATAAATAAAATCAACCATTTTGACTTATCTCTTAACCAACTGTGTCCATTAGGTCTGGATAAAGAGACGCAGTTAGAGTTTAAACTTATTATGATTTTACTTTTCCAGGTCAAGGATTGGTAAACTGGAGGGATTAGAAAAAACAAAGAAGGATATTTCAAATCTATGTTCCACGTTTCTCTTCCATGTTATGTATGCTAGAGCCTGACTCTTTTATTATTGTGAAGATCTAACAGATGTTTATGATAGCCCCTCTTTCTAGTGCCACTACATAGAGGCACCCTCAGAAAATCCTTGCTGGAAAGGTCGGTAATAGAACAAATTATGGCAGCAATTGTTGGTAAAATTCAGTACCTAGGGCTTTCTGGTCCAAGGACTAAAAATTCTGAGGTTCTTTCAAGATCTATTCCTCTTACAACTGTTCTTTAAGGGATAAGCATCAGTTTAGCCCTTTTGATTCAATCCACTGTTTAAAATCCAGCAGAAACACAGTATTCTGATGTGTGAATGCCATACTTAACTAGTTCCAGTGCTAATGAAGCTTTTTCCAAAGCTTTAGATTCCCTGTGGCTGCCATCAGAACGGAGGTGGGGAGGTGTGGGTCTAAGTGTATGTAATCCCATCACCATTTCCCGACCTACTCCTACATTTTGAAAGTACACGTTTTCAGAAATTCCAATAGACCCAGAGGCTATATTAGGATATGCTGAACTCAATTTTGCAAGCGTGCTAGCCCCTTCTCCAAGGGAAAATGTCAGTACTCGGGGGATCTCTCTATGCTCTACGTACTCTTATTTCTTTGGGTCCTTCTCACATGAAACCTAACGTATAAAAAAGCATCTACGGCCGGGCACAGTGGCTCAGCCTGTAATCCTAGCACTTTGGGAGGCCAAAGCGAGAGGACTGCCTGAGCCCGGAGATTCAAGACCAGCCTGTGCAACTTGGTGAGACCTCATCTCTATAAAAAAAAAATCACAAAAAATTAGCCGGGCATGGTGCTGTAGTTCCAGCTACTTAGAAGGCTGAGGCGGAAGGATCACCTGAGCCCAGTAGGATGACGCTAAGGTGGCGGTGAGCATGTCACTGCACTCCAGCCTGGGCGACAAGAGTGAGACTCCAACACAAAAAAGAAAAAAAAAAAAAAAGCATCTACATGCCCTATGAAACATCAACGGCCCCACCAAAAAAATGAAGCAATATTTAAACTTTTGTAATTATTTAGCTATGAATAATTCATATAATTTACTGCTGGTCTGATTTCTTAGCTATCATCCGTGCACAGTCGGGAATTCTTGCAAAGAAAAACTAGCATACATAAAGCTTTAAGAGCAAATTTAGTTGAATGAAATGTCATCTTGTCACATTCCGCAGGCGTTTATCATTAAGTAATTTGAATTTTGCGGTTTTCTCTTCCATTTCCGAAATACTATTGTCCTCCTAGGACCTTCAGCTGCATTCATTGCCTACTGGATGAAGGCGCATGGAGCCCGGCGGCTCCTCCGAGGGCCTGGTCCAGCTCCCGCAGGACCTTCACCAGGCGCTGGGTCGCGGTCCTGGTATTGCTGCCCACGTCATCACTCCTGAGTGCTGGCAAGATAACGATTCACCTTGGCAGTAGCAGAAGCTTTCTCTAAAACTTGGGGGTCCTTAAAGACTAGTTCCTAGACATCGGCTTAAAAATCCTCCCTGACATTCTGGTCAAAATCAGTCCTTGATTGCCATGATGCTGGACTCCCACCCACAGCAAGAACGAAAACGGATTTTCTGGTCTTTTCAAAGAGCTTTGCTTGTATTTCAGATTTACTCCTAAGGAGTTAATACAACCCGGCTTCTCTACGCTCCCGGGGGTGGCGAAACCCAGACGATCCCAGGGGCCTCCAGGCACCGCCCCCGCCGGAACTCGCCAGCCGAGGCCACACAGGAGACCCGCGCCCACGGCTGGTTCCTGAAACGCGAGAAACACCGACAACGGCCGCGAAGCCCAAGCAGTTCCCTCGCTGATCCGGCCGGACACGCCCCCACTTCCCAGCAAGCGCCCCGAGGGGGCGCCAGGCCCCGCCCTGGTTCCGCCCTCCGCGTTAGGTCTCACGCGGACGCGCGCCTAGCTCCGCCCCCAGCCTAACCGGTCGCGCGCCCCAGCCCAGCCGGGGCCGGTCCCGCGAGGCGCGTAGGGCACTCACTTGTGGAAAGAAACAGGCTTGTCCTTGTCATAGCGGTTCTTGCAGCCGTAGGCGGAGCAGGACTGCACCATGCTTCCGGTCCGCAGGCACTTCACTTCTGCCGCCCCACAAGGCGGATGAAGCTGCTTTCAGTGTCGCCGCCCGCGGCTTGACACCCTCGCTCCTTGTGTGGCTTTGGCCAACACTTACAGTGATGATAGCCTATTGGGGGCGACTAGTGGGCCTGTTTTGTTGTTTGCATTAGCAGAAGGACCACAGCCATCGCCCGACTCCCATCTCCAAGATGGCGGAGGCAGCTTCAACTTCACCTCTCGCGAGGAGCTCGTCCCTCTCGCTCTGATTAGTCTCGGGGGATCAGAGGTGACGTTTCCTAGGAAGCAAGTTATTGGCTAAGGCCTGGTGTTTCCGGCATCGGGTTTGGCGTTGCGGAAATGGGCGGGACTTCCGAGAACAGTAAGGTTCCGCTTGAGGGGGGCGGGGCCGACTTCCGGGGCCGACTTTCCCTGCTGCGGTGTTCCCACGGGCTCATTAATCCGGAGACGGGGGTGACTGAGAGGGGTCAACAAATGGGGCTTGTTGGACGACAGGTATAGAGCCGAGGTCGGTGTCTAATGGCGCCCAGATCTTTAAAAGAGCGGCCACAGGTGGGATATGATTCATAATACTTTGTGGAAGTCCCTTCCGGGCTGTTGATCTTGTCCCATTCCCTGTCTCCTCAGGCCTCCCAGCGCTCTGTGACTGCAAGGACAGACTTTTAGCAGTGACGGATGACACACACTGGCCACACCTGCTCACTGCCGGGTCACCGGCTCGGCGGGCTGTCCGCTTGCGTGTTGGGTGTCGCGGGTGTCGCGGCGTTTTCACAGGGAGAGTCTTTCCTCCTCTTTCCCTGCCTCTTTCCTCTGTAGAGCTGAGCCCGGAAACCCAGAGAGCGGGCTTTGGGGTAATTCCAAGGCCCTTATGCTCTCCTTCTGCCCCTTAGATGTTGGTGTGTCCCAGAGTTCCATCCTCTGCTCTCAACACCCTGTTCCTCGATCTTACTCATGCCTGATTCTCTCATCTTTTATTTCCTATGTAAATCTCTTTTTTTATCATCTGTGAATTATCTGTTCAACAGTTGTCTAAACTAGAAAACTTGGAGTCAGCTTACAAAACCCTTTGATGTCCTGGTTAACTTTATAGAATAAATGAATACCTCTGAAATCCATCCCTCTCCGTCTCCTCACTGTTCTTGATCAAACCTTTGCAGCAATCCGCAACTGTCCTGGTCTCTGGTTCTGCCTGTCTTTAGTCTGTCCTCCATAGAAACTGATGGTTACTCCCCTGCTCATCTCTTGAGGCTGAATCCCTCTACTGAATACAATCCGAACTTCTTACGTGAGCTTTAACAATCATCGTCTCCCTCCACATTCCCTCACACTGTTCCAGTTTTTTGCCTTAGAGGGCAGACTCTTTTGTGGCTTCAGGCTTGGCTTGCAATGCCCACCATTAATTTGTTCACCCTTAATATTGTGGTCTGAGTGTTATCTTCTTCAGCAAGCTTTTTTTACCATCTCTTCCAAGCCTCCTCAACCCAGGCGCCTCTTGTTCTAGTGTAATCTTGCACATATTATCTCTGTGAACAATTATGAACAATATTGTAAGGTCAGTGTATGTGTCTATCTTAATGAGAACTGAGATGTGCTTGAAGACGGGTATTGTGTCTTACCTAACCTTGAAATTTCAGCAGCTTGCATAAAGGGTCTGACCTAAATTACTCTTCAGAAAGTGTCTGGTTCCAGGGAATCCAAAAACCATTTATCTAAAATAGTTTCAGAACCAGTTGTATCTTGGAGGTGTTTCAGGTTTGATTACAGACCACAGCAATAAAGCAAGTCACATGAACTTTTTGGTTTCCCTGGGCATATCAAAGTTATGTCCACAATATACATTGAGTATACAACAGCATTATGTCTAGAAACAATGTATATACCTTAATTTAAAAATACTTTTATTGCTGGCCAGTCATGGCGGCTCATGCCTGTAATTTCAGCACTTTGGGAGGCGGAGGCAAGATGATTGCCCAAGTCCAGGGGTTCGAGACCAGCCTAGGCAACTGGTGAGACCTCGTCTGTACAATTAAAAATAAAAACAAAAAAATAGCCAGCCGAGGTGGTGTGCACCTGTGGTTCCAGCTCCTTGGAATGCTGAGATGGAAGGATCACCTGAGACCAGTAGTAGGTTGAGACTGTGGTGGCTGTGAGTGTGCCACTGCACTCCAGCCTGGGTGACAGACTCTGACTCAAAAAACAAAACAACTTTTTTGCTAAAACTGGGCATGGTGGCTCCTGCCTGTAGTCCCAGCAACTTGAGAGGCTGAGGCAGGAGGATTGATGGAGTCCAGGAGTTCACAGCTTCAATGAGCTATGATTACGCCATTGCACTCCAGCCAGGATGACACAGCAAGACTTGAAAAAAAAGAAAAATAAATAAATAAATAAACCTATTGCTAAAAAAATACTATTGACCCAACCAAACCTTCAGCAAGTCAATCTTTTTGCTGGTAGAGGGTCTTGTCTTGATGCTAATGGCGGCTGACTTATCAGGGTGGTGGTTGCACTTCAGCCTGGCAACAGAGTGAGATGCTGACTCAAAAAAACATTTTAAACAAACAAACAAAAAAACACACACCAAAGATACAAATTTTAAAAATACAGTACAACAATCATATAGCATTTATATTATTATAAGTAGTCTAGAGATGATTAAAGCATACAGAAGGATGTACATAGGTTATATGCAAATACCACACTATTTTACTTTAGCACTTGTGAATGGTGTCTTTGGGAGTCCTGGCATGAATCCCCAGTGGATACTGAGGGGTGACTGTATGTGTATATGTGCATATTTCTGGTGAGCTGTCCATAGCTTACACCTGATTTTCACAGAGAAAACAGCCGGTTTCTAAAGTCCCTTACAGCCCTAATATCGAGAATTAGTGAAAAAACATTAGGATCATTTTCATTTAGACATACATTCTAGGTTTTCTCCAAGACCTATTAGAAGGGTTACTGTAGATCTGATCTCATCTAGCAAGGACTTTGCTTAATTAAAGTAATTGATTTGTGTTCAGTTGATGTAGAATAGAGTTCTGCAGTCCTTATGTTAAGGGTGCAGGAATTAAGTAATTTTAGTTTTTTTAAAAATTGTTTTCATCTTGGAGTTCCTCAAAAAATTAAAAATTGTATTTTTAAGTTAATGTAAGTATAAGCAGTTAGATATCAGTGCCTTTAAACATCTTGTAGCCCTTAACTCTATCTTGCATCACATACTACATTCCCTCAAAAGGCCTACAGCTTGTCCCAGCTACTTGGAAGGCTGATGCAGGACTGCCTGAGCCCAGTGGGTCAAGGCTGCGGTGGCCATGAGAGAGTGCAACAGAATGAGACTCTGACTCAAAAAACAAATACAACAACAAAAAAAGACTGCTCAGTTAATACCACTTGTCTGAAAGAGAGAACAAGGCAGTGCTAGCAAGAATAATGTCCCAATATGCTTAGTGCTTCCTGACGGGGCATCTACTCCTCTTCTGACCATTGTGGGATATGAACAAGTCAGAGTGCGAAGGGGGATAAGGATGACAATTACTGATAACACCTCAAATTTGTCTAGTCAAGAATCCAATGCTTAAATACAGATACCATGAAGATGGTCTGGTTCTGACAAAACAACAAAAGGTCAAAGATTATCCTTATCTCTGCGATCATATGGCCCAGAGCAGACCTTAAAACCTATTGGCCTTGGCCAGTCTTAGGCTAAAACCCCTAAAATGCTTCTTGCTCTAGCCCAGCCCCAGGTTTATGGGTCATTTAGCAATATGGAAGGGCCTTAGAGGACATTTCATGTTTCAAAGAGTAGGGGGAGGAGGGGAAGGCAATGACGCAAACATGTGCGCACAGACTCTGAAATTTCAGTTACCAAATAACAATTTAAATAGTCAAACAGATCTGATAAATTGGCACAGAGACCTAATCTCTATTTTATATTGCATCCTTATCGTTGAATTAATATACCAGATTGCCCAGATTAAATAATTTTCCTTAAAGACAAATTCTTTACTTTTTGAATTTAAAAATATCTAAGCAAAATTGGCTGGATGTAGTGGCTCACATCTGTAATCCCAGTAGTTTGGGAGGCAGAGGCAGGAGGATCACTTAAGCCCAGGAGTTTGAGACCAGCCTGGGCAACATAGCAAGACCTCGTCTCTACAGAAACAAAAAATTAGCCAGGTATTGTAGTGTGCACTTGGAAGTCCCAGCTGTTTGGGAGGCTGATGCAGGCAGATTGCCTGAGCCCAGGAGTTGGAGGCTGCAGAGAGCAGTATATATCCAAAACTAACTAGAAATGTGATGAAGTACTGAATGTCCTTTAGTGAAAGAAACTCATTACAATTATACTAAATGCTTTCAGAAATTATGAATTTTAAGGCATATAATATTAAAGAAACAGAAAACACCTTTAAAAAATTTTAGATATGTTGCTTTTATTCAGAAGAATAAAATGTTTGACAGACTCTTTAATCACAAAGTTTGAACCAAACCGCCAGTCTTCCATGACGACTCTGTGAGGTAGGTATCTGCACGGCCACAAGGGCTCCACACAGTCCTTTCTTTCCTCTCAAATGCTGAGAATTGTAGGTGAAACCACTGTTTTCGTGGGCAGCTGGAACAGTTATCTCCCCCATCTTGTTCCCCACAGAGCTGCCCAAGTTATTATCTGCTCCTTAGGTTGGACCATCTGTTTTAGTGACAGTTACAATATTGTTGTTTTAAAAAATCCAAATGTTTGCTTTGGTTTATATGATCTAACTCTGAACCACAGAAGTATTACCATGAAATTTAAAACACTGATTGACTCTACTTGCTTTAAATACTCTCTCAGATTCCTTCTGCAAATAATCATCAGTGATCAGTAAAGATGACAATAAGCAGGTCTAAAATTCCGAGATATCAATACATACCCTTTTCAGTTTAATAGTACTTCAGATCATACAGTGTTTTTGTATGTTACAAAATTTGGTACAATGTACCTCTACCAGGAAAGTATTACAATAAAATAATTGTAACCAGAAATGTGACACTGGAGCAGAACGCATGCAAAGAAAATAAAATCCTGCCAAAAAAACATTGTTAATAGCCCCATACCAAGTGTTTAATTGACAGAAAATACATTTCCAGGCTGATAAATGGTGGTGTAATAAACTCCTACTCATTTACTTTTCAAGTTGGTGAATGCAACCAAAATATTTCTCTATGATGTATGCCACCCTATTAGACATTTGATTTGGAAGTGCAGAATTAGGATTCATGGTCTTGAGGAGTCATCTTTCTAGACCTTTCCTCTTAGGAACACCTAAGCTACCCTACTCCAATGAAGGAATAATATAGTATGAAAGACTTCTAAAGGATCCCATTTTCTTTCTTCATGAGCTTCACCAGTTAATACCAGTTCAATTGCTTGTTAGGTGACTTAAGTAAAAAAAAAAAACCAAAACAACTTGCATCAATAGCGTGGGGATTTCATCTGTGAAATGGAAGGTGATGCTGTGCCTTCCTCACAACATAGGCCCAAGGATAAACAAAAGTATGTGAGAAACTTCTGTAATTATAATGTCTGTGTTTAACCATTATTGTTTTTTCTTGATGACAAGCAACGGCTTTGTCCTAAGTCCAAATTAGAGAATGCAAATTGAAATTTCATTCAGAATCTTATTTGTTGATAGCTAATTTGATTAATGTGGGAGAAAGTGGCAGATTTTCTCATCTTCCTGTCAGCACATAGTGAGGCTCACTAATAAATTTTTGGATGATATGAATATCAGTGATCGCAGATGGCAATGCTAACACTGACTCCTGGGCATCACCTAAATTATCTAATGAGTAATGCCAGGAAAAGTGAGTAGGTCTCCTAATACTATGGTATTGACTTTTCTCAGACTTATCCACTCATTCTGCACAAGACATGATGAATCTGGGCCATATGCTACAATCTTGAGACAGTATTTTAAGTTTTCCACAATACAAAACTAATCAAATTTGTCCATCCATTGCTAGAGGTAACCAGTAATTCTCTTGTCAGATTTAAATACTGTTCCTGGTACTTTCCTAAGGGCTTTGATGCTCACAGATATGAAGATCCCTTCCCTGAGAAATGCATCAGACCATGATGTGTCTGCAGTATTACCAGATTCCTAAAAAAGCCTTCCCTTTATATGTTACTTTTATACATCTGCTCCTATGAAAGGACCAAACTCTTGTTTAAATGCCATAACTGAACATCAAGTATGCTGACTCAAGATAAATGTTTTTCATTTTTTTAATCTTCTACTGATTAAAAAGTGCTCTGTAAATGAGAATATGAAATCAAAGTATAAAGTTCAAGTTTCTCCTTTCAGTTTTAGCTGATCGCAAAGAATTATACCAGAGCAAAAAAGCAGAACTGCTCCAAATGCACAAAACTAGTATTAAAAGAAACACTGACTTTCCCCCCAATACTGTATAATCTTTTATTTTAACAAAAATACTTAGATGAGCTTTATAGCTCTGTATTATCATATAGCTACCCACTGAGGAGGATAAATTGGATAAACTACATTTAACAACTCCTTACTATATTACAATTAATCTAATTTTGGGGAAAAGCAAAAGATAAAAGCATTCCTTTTAATATAATTCCATATTTTTTCCAGATACTTTACAGACAACACAAAATTGAGATATAACTAGATCATTATAATTCTGAACATTAGAACCTGCAAAATATAAAAATTCCAGTTATGTGCTGCTAGGTATTTGTCAATTGATAATCAGATGTTTGTCATACAGTTGTTTTAAGTTTGTAAGATAATATTCAAATACTTTATACTGCCACTGGTCCTTTGTTTGATTTTTATACATTAGCTCAGATATTCTAGCAAACTTTTTTTTTTTTTTATCTGGTTAGCCTTTGGGTTATCACTTCTCGATACATAATAGAGATGTAGATAAGCAATAAAAAGATGACAAAAAAATCATCTAGAAAGCCTAGAATTCCAAACAAGGCTTCAGGTACAAAATCTAGAGGTGATATAAGGTAGAAAAATGCTCCCATTAAACAAAGTATTATCCTAATGCGGAACATCCAGAAAAGGCCTCCGACTGAAAACATTTCCCTGAATGCATGCCTCAGTAAAGTGGGTAGATCCATAATTCTTTCCATAATCTGGTAGGGGGAAAAAATGAATATTATGATTTAGCATCTAATGTATCAGATTTCAAAATAATATACTTTTCTTAAAAAGTGTAAACCCAGTTAAGATGAATTAAGAAGGTTCACATATTGATTGAACATATTTTCTAATTATGGATTTTATTTAAAAACATTTCTCTGAATATTAGTTCTTATAAAACTAATACTTATCACAGATTAAAGTAACTACAGATAAAAGTAACTACAGTGTCATCAAGCTTAAAATATGGGTTATAATAATGAAAAACTCAAGTTATCTCTAAGTAAAATAAACCAAAGAACCAAGTATACAGGATCAAATTAAAGTCTGAAGCTTGAGCTTTAAAGTCAGACAGATCTGAATTGGAACCAAAATCAAGCACTTATTAGCCAGGTGATCTTGGGGATAGTTGTTTAACCTACCAGAGATATTTCAACAATTAATTATTTATGTGCAATAAGGACTACTAAAAACTAAAAGAGATATTGTACATGAAAGACCTTTATAACTTGCCAGTCAATATATAAGTATTATACATTAAAGACATATGGACTTTGATGGCTTTGATAGTTTAAGAATAGCAATGAAGGCCAGGCTCTGTGGCTCAGCCTGTAGTCCCAGCACTTTGGGAGGACAAGGCAAGCGGATTGCCCGAGCCCACGGTTTCAAGACCAGCCCAGGTGACTTGGCGAGACCTCGTCATTACAATAAATCAAAAATTATTTGTAGTTCCAGCTCCTTGGAAGGCTGAGGTGGAGGGTTATCCCTCTGCTTTTTTTTTTTTTTTTTTTTTGAGTCAGAGTTTTACTCTATCGCCCAGGCTGGAGTGCAATGGCACACTCACGGCCACTGCAGCCTTGACCTGCTGGGTTCAGGCGATCCTTCCACTTCAGTCTTCCAAGTAGCTAGAACTACAGGCGTGCACCACCATGCCTGGCCAATTTTTTGATTTATGTAGAGACAAGTTTTCACCATGCTGCTCAGGCTGGTCTTGAACCCCTGGGGTCAGGCAATCCTTTTGCCTTCATCCTCCCAAAGTGTTGGGATTACAGGTGTGAGCCACGATGCCTGACTCCCTCTGCTATTTTTAACAACCTGTATAAAAATCATAAAGCCAACTTTGGGTATGCATTTTATGTATCAAGTGCCAGATAAGTTGAGAGGGAGATCGAGACAAAAATGCAAAGAATTGAGCAAGTGAGGAGAAAACAGTTTTTAAAACTCCTTCAGACCAAGAAAATCATATTGTGATTCTTTTGGAACACAAAAGAACAAGAATGGTCTTTTCAGAATCACTTCTTAATTTTCAGTTTTTTATTCTCTGTGGGAGAAATGAATATTTAAAGCAAAACAAGCTGGGCGCAGTGGCTCACACCTGTAATCCCAGCACATTGGGAGGTGGAGGTGAGAGGACTGCCTGATTCCAGGAGTTCGAGATCAGCCTGAGCAACATGGCGAGACCTCGTCTCTACAATAAAAAAAAAAAAAATCAGCCAGGCATGGTGGCACATGCCTGTGGTTCTAGCTACTTGGAAGGCTGAGGCGGAAGGATCACCAGAGCCCAGCAGGTGGAGGCTGCAGTGGCTGTGAGTGTGCCACTGCACTCCAGTCTTGGCGACAGAGTGAAACTCTGACTGAAAAAAACCAAACCAAAACAATAATAACAAAAAATTAAAGCAAAACAGCCTTACAGCTTTCACAAAATCTATGGTAAATGACTTTAGATATCCTAACAAACAGCACATTTTTTTGAATACCCTTCTGTTCTTTATCAGAGCTACTGAATATGTATATTCTAATATGGTATTATCATTTATACAAAATCTATACTAATTAGACAAGAAATATGAAATTGTTTACTAAGAAATATTTGTGTATTCATGTAAACTTACTCTATCTTTGAAGGAGGCAGACTATCAAAGACTTAAATGTCTTTATTATATTGTAATTCATTACATACCAGCCTTTCTTACTCATTAAATATCTGACATCTACAAAAAGTAGTAAGTGAGCAATGGTGTGTTAACATATGTAAAAATATGCATGAAAATCTTAAAATGATTTCTTTAAAGTTCAGTGTTAGTTCTTGAATTTGAAAGGTTATATTTTAAAAGAATCACCCTACAGGTGTCACTGGAAGATACATTTAAAAATTGCTAGATAAAAAAATAGAAGTTCCAAAAAATTATGGAAAGCAATAGTAATTAGATTCTTTTCTTACTGCTTCAATACTTTAAAAAAATGATAAACTACCCACTAGCATCCACAACAATTGAAACTATACTCCCTTAAATGTCTGTGATCTCACAGAAAAAGGAGCAAGGGGTAAGAGCACACTTTTTTATGATACTGAAGTATTTTAGATTTTGGGGGGTTTTTTTTGTAGACAGGATCTTACTATGTTGCCCAGGCTGGTCTTAAACTCCTGGGCTCAAACAATCCTGCCTTGGCCTCCCAAAGTGCTGAGATTATAGGAGGAGTCACTGTGCCTGGCCAATACTGAAGCATTTTAATAGCTTAATTTTTTTTCAATTCTTTTTTTTTTTTTTTTCTAGTTGGAATCTCACTGTGTTGCTCAGGCTAGAGCGCGTGGCACGATCAAAGCTCGCTGCAACCTCAACCTCCTGGGCTCAGGCAATCCTTCCACCTCAGCCTCCTGAGTAGCTGGGACTACAAGTGCACACCACCATGTCCAGATAATTTCTTAGATTTTTTTGTAGATACAATGTCTTGCTATGTTGTCCAGGCTGGTCTCAAACTCCTAAGCTCAAGCAATTCTCTTGCCTCAGCCTCCCAAACTGCTAGGATTATAGGTATGAGCCACCACACTTGGCCTTGATTCTTATCTTAAAAATAACTCACTAATATTTTCAACAAATAGTAAGGGCCTGTATCCCATTACAATATGAAGGGGGACCCAAAAAATCTGGAATTATCTTTTGGTGGGTAGGCCCCATGTAGTACAGGCTTCCTCTTCCAAGTAAGTGTTCTAGGAACTTATCAGCATCAGTGTACCACCTAGCGTTGTTGTGAGAGGCTGAATTCAGCTTCAGTGAAATTTTCTTTTTGATTCTTTTAATGCGTTTGCCCATTTCATGATGGTTGATCTACAAGTGTACCCGCCCACACTGCACTAAGTATACAGCAGTTTTTAACCAAAAAATGGCACGACCCCTGTCCTCCACCCTATTTACCCGATCTTGCTCCAAGTGACTATTTTTATTTCTCCGGATGAAAAATGTCCTCAAAGGGAACATTTTGCTGATATGAAAGAAGTGAAACCAAAAAAAGCAGAAACACTAAAAGGCATCAAAATTGATGAGTTCAAAATGGGTTTGAGCAGTGAGAAAAGCATCTTGATAGGTGTATTGCATCAAACAGAGAGTACTTTGAAGGTGATTCAAGTTTAAAAATGTAAGAATACATACACAATATAATGTCTCCCTCTAAATTTGTACCTGCTATAACATTACTTACGGATCGGGGCTGCCCTGAGAATCTCCGATTATAATCATTAATATCTTGATGCAATCTTACAACATCCTGAGACTGATCATCATCACCAAATACTGTTAAGAGTAAAGTTACCTGTATATTACAGAAAAACATAGTTTCAATTTTTCTGAATCATGTTTTTTTTCATTTTGTGTTACTATTCAACGAAATAATTAAAGCTTCTGAATTTATATTTCACTCATTTATTTCAATAAAGGCAACCTGGGGTGGAGGGGAATAAGTTAACACTGCCTCACTGTAAAAGCCAATGCAGAATGTAATGTGAACTTCCTATGAAGTATAATAGGTACCATATCTGAATCCTGGTCTAATATTTTTCTGTCCACACCAGTGGTAAATTCAGTAGTTCTCTGTTTGGACAAACAGATATTTAAAAATATAAGAAGGGCCGGGTGAGGTGGCTCATGTCTGTAATCCCAGGACTTTGGGAGGCAGAGGCTAGAGGATTGCCTGAGCCCACGGGTTCAAGACCAACCTGGGGCAACTTGGCAAGACCTCGTCTCTACAATAAATCAAAAAATTCGCCAGACGTGGTTGTGTGTGCCAGTGGCCATGAGCATGCCACTGCACTCCAGCCTGGGTGACAGAGTGAGACTCCAACTCAAAAAAAAAAAAAAAAAAATATATATATATATATATATATATATATATATATTTTTTTTTTTTTTGATTTGGACACACACACACCCACACACACACACACACACACACAGTGGCATATATATGAAGGATGAGAAAACATTCAGGAACAAAGTGACATAAAATATATACCTATCACTCTGAGAGAGAAAAATTATGAATTTCTTTTTTGCTATTAATATAATTATTCTATATTCTCACTGTTATTTGAAAGATCTTTCATTGGTACTAGCCATAATACAGAGATTAAGTTATTTTAGGGACCAGCTCTCAAACACAATTAAAAAAAAAATGTGGCTGGGCACAGTGGCTCATGCTTACAATTCCAGTACTTTGGGAGGCCAAGACAAGAGGACTGCTTAAGCCCAGGAGTTTGAGACCAGTCTAGACAACATAGTGAGACCTCGTCCGTACAAAAAATTAAAAAATTAAGCCTGGCATGGTGGCATACGCCTATGGTCCCAGCTACTAGAGAGGCTGAGGCAGGAGGATCACCTGAGCCCAGGAGGTCAAGACTACAGTGAGCTATGATCATGCCACTGCAGCCTGGGCCACAGAGTGAGACTCCAACTCAAAAGAAAAAAAAATGTAATTCTTGATACTGTTATATAACATAATACATTTAACCCTGCTTCCTCCATGGTTGTGGTAAAAAGGGTACAAAGTATGGCAAAGAGGACAAAAAAAAAAAAAGTTGTACGTATACATAACATGGCCTCCCAAAGTGTTGGAGTTACAGGTGTGAATCACTGCACCTGGTCCTATTTTGCCATAGTAAACAAAAAGAACTTTGGTGTCTCAGAATTGTTCAGTATTTTGTTTCTCTAGTCTGTCAAATAAATTGAGAAAATCTGGCATATCTCATGTGTGCTAACATTTTAGTCTTCACATTTGCATTTATAACAAATAAAAAATAAATAATATGGAAAAATAGGACATTCTATCAGTTATACACTGTTTTTCATAACTTCCTTTATTTTTATTTTTCATTTAAAATAAAAACATAGTAGTACTCCCTTTTCCCTGGCTGTGGGGAATGTGTTTATACATACATACTCTGAAGGTAACAGACAGTACCTTGAAAAATAAATACACTTAAAAATATAAGCCAGGTGTGGCAGCTCACACTGGTAATCCCAGCACTTTGGGTGGCCTAGGTGGGATAATTGCTTGAGTCCAGGAATTCGAGGCTGCAATTAGCTGTGATTGTGCCACTGCATTCCAACCTGGGCAACAAAGTGAGACCCTGACTCAAAAAATAATAATAATAATAAATAAAAATATAACACCTTTATAGAAAATGGTTACTAACCGGGCTCAGTGGCTCAGCCTGTAATCCCACGCCTTGGGAGGCTGAGGTGAGTGGATTGCCTGAGCCCGCGGGTTCAAGACCCGCCTGGGCAACTTGGCGAGACCTCATCTCTACAATAAATCAAAAAAAATTAGCCGGGAGTGGTAGCGCACGCCTGTAGTTCCAGTTACTTGAAAGGCCGAGGCGGAAGGATCGCCGGAGCCCAGCAGGTTGAGGCTGCGGTGGCCGGGAGCGGCCACTGCACTCCAGTCTGGGCAACAGAGCGAGACTCCAACTCAAAAGAAAAAAAAAAAGAAAATAGTTACTGATGAGTTGTATGATGAGATAAAAGCAAGAAGTGGTAGCTTTAGTTTTAGATCGTCTAGCTGTTGTTTGTATCCTTCTTCAGTTCCAAACAGCTAAACAAAGGAGTGACTATGTGCAGCAGGTGGTAGGAACAGCATATATAGCTATCTCTTCCTTCACAGATTTGTTAATAAAAATGCATTCTTTCAGTACACATTAATGTAGCACATACTGTGGGCTGGGCACTGTGCTAGATATACAAAAAAATTAGAAAATGAAGACACGACCCTGCTCCTGGATGACCACAATATCCAATATAAAAGGGGAGGCAATTCTGGTAAACAGCCTACATGGCACTGTGGTAGGTGTCATAGTGATGCTACAAGAGGCCTCTTTAGCCCAGGAGGCCAGAAAGTATAAAACTTGGGCTAAGCTTGATGTGTGGGTAGACTGTGTGTCAGTGTGCACGCATTCAGAAAGAGAAGTGAGCAGTGTGTTCCTGTTGGAGGCAGCAACTGCTATTTCCATGGCCATTTATTAAAAGAGTGAAACAGGTGAAACCAGTGAAACAGGTGTTGGAACAGGTATCTACCATCAGTCTTGCCTCCAGGATGAGTTAATCTGCAGTTAGGGAACCAAGACAACTTTATTATGATTAAATGCTTTATTATTATATTTATTATATTAAGACAACTTTACTAGCCTCTAGTCAATGGATGGACGGTGCAAAGTATACCACTAATATACATATGCCCTATGAGAGGCATGGGTGAGCCAAGAAGAAGGGACAGGTGGTAGAACTAATTCATTAATGCAAGAACTTCTACCTGGTCTCAGTGCTACAAGCCAATGGCAAAAGATGGTAAGAGATGGTAGTAGCAAATAAGCTTCAATGTTGACTGCCTGTTTTGTACATCACATCAGCAGAGAGGCAACACAAAAACATCAGTTTTCCTCTTGATCATGTGATAAAAAGTCAAATGTGAAACAGGTAGAATTTGGGAACATAGAAGCAAGAAGGAAAGAAGAGAGAGCCCTGGACCTCCCTCTGGGCACTAAAACAAGGGGGCAGTGATGGCAAGAAATAGCCAGAGATAGGGCTGAAAGTGTGTGTGCGCATGTATGTGTGTATGCATGTATATGTGTGTTTATGTGAGTATGCATGTATATGTTTGTGTACTGTATATGTATGTGCTTATGCATATGCGTATGTAGATGTATGTGTGCAGGTATATGTGCATATGTTTGTGTATATATTTATATGTATGTGTATTTGTATGTATATGTGTATATGTGTGTGTGTGTATTTATATATGTGTTTGTATGTATATGTATGTATGGACACATTCCCCACAGTCAGGGGTAAGAGGGGACTACTGTATTTTTATTTTTATTTTTATTTATTTATTTTTTTGAGTTGGAGTCTCACTCTGTCGCCCAGACTGGAGTGCAGTGGCCGCTCCCGGCCACCGCAGACTCGACCTGCTGGGCTCTGGCGATCCTTCCACCTCAGTCTTCCAAGTAGACGGAATTACAGGCACGCGCTACCATGCCTGGCTAATTTTTTTTTTTATTTATTGTAGAGATGAGGTCTCGCCTGCCCAGGCGGGTCTTGAGCCCGTGGGCTCAGGCAATCCACTCACCTCAGCCTCCCAAAGGCGTGGGATTACAGACTGAGCCACCGAGCCCGGCTGTATTTTTATTTTAAATGAAAAATAAACATAAAAGAAGTTATAAAAAACAGTGTACAACTGACAGAATGTTCTATTTTGCCATATTATTTTTCTTTTCTTTTCTTTTTGAGTTGGGGTCACCCAGGCTGGAGTCTGTCACCCAGGCTGGAGTACAGTGGCACGATCACAGCTCACCATAGCCTCAACTTCTTGGGCTCAGGTGATCCTTCCACCTCAGCCTCGAGTAGTTTGGACTACAGGTGTGTGTCACAATGCCTGGTTACATTTTTTATTTTTTGTAGAGATAAGGTCTTGCTATGTTTTCCAGTTTGGTCTCAAACTCCTGGGCTCAAGCAATTCTCTCACCATGGCCTCCCAAAGTGTTGGAGTTACAGGTGTGAGTGATCACGCCTGGCCCTATTTTGCCATATTAAAAACTAAGAACTTTGGTTTCTCAGAATTGTTCAGTATTTTGTTTCTCTAGTCTGTCAAGGAAATTGAGATAACCTGGCATATCTCATGTGTGCTAACATTTTAATCTTCAGATTTGCATTTATAGCATCTACTGCCTCCCACCGGAGGTGGCTTCTGTACTGACTCTAATAGTGTAATCTGTTCTGGAAAATGCAGTGTGGCTTATGTCTCTAAAATAAATGAAACATTTAAAAAAGTTATTATACATCACTTAAAACAACCTGGACCTTCACTGGAAAAGGACAAGTTAAATATAATTTTAAAAAGGAAAAACACTTTTTTTCTAAAAGAAATGTATACAGAGGATATATGCTTAAGCCTGATCATCTAGTCCAGTTATTCTTTTGCCGCTATTTCAACAAAGACTTACAAAGGAAAGGATTCATTTATCAGTTGTTTTCACTACAACTACAGGATTTCAAATAGAATTTCCTTTTTTTTGTGGTATCTTAATGATAGCTTTAAAAAATAAATAATTGAATAATGTCACAGAAGCTTTTGATGAAGTTCTGCTAAAAAAGATAAAAAATAATTCAAAATTTAGACATAAAAACTGTAAAAATGTACAAAATGAATAGCCTGAATAATACCTCTGTATATGAAACATTACCGTTTGTCTACAGATTGGACAACTAATTGCTCCAAGCCATGAACCGTATCGCCAGTAAGCAATAATGCAGGTACCTAATGGGAAAAAAACCCCAAAAAAACATTAAATTTATGTTTTAAAGTTCATATATCCTCAGAAAGTTTCAGATATTTGAAATATTTTAACAATATCACCTTGCTTAAAAGTATTTTTTACTTCAACTAACTCTTCAGGCAAATTCAAATCTAGTAACAATTCCCAGACATTAAAAACCATTTTTTATTTAAACTTCTAGTTAAGCTACAGTTTTGCACAATCAAAAACAAATATATGTTAACTGTCTTGATGCTATGAGGCTTCACAGAAAATATTGCATTTCCTGTGTAATGTAAGTAAAACAACAATTAAACAATATTATAACAACCAACAAACAGAGCATAAATTTTCTGTTCCAAATTTGATATATGTTACAAAAACACAAATTTTACTTTTTGAGTTTAGAAAACCAAATTATCAAAGTATTAACTAATATTAGGTAGTAGGAGCAAGGAATCAAAGGATACAAAGAGTATATGCTCTCTGTCCTGACAAAATTTATAATCCAGTTCAATGATTGAATCAACTCTTGAACTAGATGGATCTGATTTTTCTGCCTGCAAGTATTCATGAGCAGCAAACCAGCTAAAGATGGGCATCACAACCTAAAGAAGAGTTCATATGACTTCAAGAAGTAGCAGGTGAACCAAGTGTATAAACACTAAACTTCAGGCCAATAACATATGAGGGGATATGTTTGAATACTGTTTGGTGATGAAGAGGTCAATTCAGTTTCTTCTCTGCAGGACACCTGCATTTTCGACCATTCAGTTCCCATTATGAATCTGAAATAAGTGCCAAGTGCTGAACTAAGTCTCCCTTATCACTCCAGGATTCTCTATCCTTTCTCTTGTCTGAACAACCTAGCTTAGCCCGTCTGTGTTCCTTATTCTGATTCCTCCAGATCAAATAAGCGTTCAGAATTCAGAACATGCAACTGAGGAGACCAAGATGACATACTTAAAGCAATGGGAGGGTAGTTAAATCTTGAACTGAGTAATACTAACTTTAAGTACAAAAGGAGTGCAGAGAGGGATGCATTAGAGTAACTTGTAGAGGAGAAAAGATTTGAACTGAACTGTAGGATAGATAAGATCTAGATAAGCAGAAAACAGGAGGGAGGACACCTCAGTTTTTATGAACAGCAAGAGCAAATGCCAGAGGAAGAAATAAATGATGTGTGAGGACACCAGGGAGCAAACAGATGGGTTAAGCAAAGGTTGTTCAAATTAGATACTAAAAAACTATGGGGAAAAACTTGTCTACCAAATTAAGGACAAATTTAAAAGCTAAGCAGTCTTTATCTGATATCTTAACTCTCACAGACTGCAACATTAATTAGATGTTTATGAGGTACTTTGACAATTTAATTTCATACAGGAACTTTATAAAAGCAGAATGTATTAATCTGATAGTATTGTTAATACCATCTGTCATGATGTCTCAGATTTATCTACTACCTTTTCATCCAGTGTGTTTTGACATATATTAAACTCATTTAATCTTATGTAACGGTCACTTGCCTGCATTAAAAAACTATGGCCCAGCGCATCAAACACTTTAGTTCATACACATCTGCTGTTATATATAAGTTATACACTTAATGTTTTCCTTTTCCTCAACTCTCCCCCTCCATAAAGAGAAATATGCACCTAAACAGGATGGTAGGAGAGGTGATTCAATAACTTTAATCTTAGTCACAATCTCTCTGAATTTGTATTTGTAAAATGTGAATAAGACCTCACAAGACTGCTGGAGAATTAAGTAAAATAATGATGGTTACAAATGCAAATAAGGTGGTATCTGTTGTTGCCATTATTCCTAACTCCCTGTGATGGAACAGAGCTGCTGTTCCATATATAGAAATAAGTCAAAGTGCTTTTGACATACATGGCACTAATATACTTGAAATATTATTTAAAGAAATACATTTCTGCTTGATAAATTGAATAGCTAATTTTTTAAGCTTTGACCCTATAGACACTAATAAAAGTGGCTAACAAGTAGAGCAGAATATCAGAAACAATCTACTTTATAACCTCAGACCCAGAGGTAAAACCAAGAACACAATACAGTCATCTTTCAACTGACAGGACCATCCATTCAGTGAATTACCTAAGCCTAGGCCGGCAAATACATTTACCCTGCCTGTCAAACCTCACTGATTCTCCTGTGTGGTACTGTGTTAGAGGATGACTGTGGTCACATTCAGATTCGGAAGAAAAGAGTGTCAGATTGATTACGTTTGAGAGGAGAAACAAAACATATCTGCCTTCTCTGACTGCATTTAATTTCCCCCATCTGATCTTACATTATTTTGCTGCTGATTAGCATTTCCAGCAAATAATAAAAAGACTGAAATTGAAATAAGTGTTTTATATTTTATAATTTGTTAGCTACTTAGGCATAAACTTTAGAGAAGAGATTGAAGTTAATGGATGAAGAAATATCATTATTGGATTACTAAATTAGCACAAGGTATAGAAACCCTGCAATGCATGCTATGGGTTTCAACTACTTATGCCATCCTCGACAACATAAATAAGAACAACTGACTTAATAATTTTATATAATGAAATTAGACAAAAGGGAGAAAGCAATTTATAGGATCACTATACGCTGCATTTTAAATTAGTCCTTATATGAAAATGTGGCACATTTTGGAAGCAATAAGACTCTATCTTGAACACACTGTTTTAACAGAAAGAAACGACTACAAAAAAACTAGGTCTAGGCTGGGTGCAGTGGCTCAGCCTGTAATCCCAGCACTTTGGGAGGCTGAGGCAAGAGAATTGCCTGAGCCTGGGGGTTGAGACCAGCCTGGGGGTTGAGACCAGCCTGGGGGTTGAGACCAGCCTGGGGGTTGAGACCAGCAACTTGGTGAGAGCTCATCTCTACAATAAATCACACACACACAAAAATTAGCCGGGAGTGGTGGTGTGCTTCTGTAGTTCCAGCTACTTGGAAGGCTGAGGCGGAAGGATCGCTACAGCCCAGCATGCTGAGGCTGCGAGCGTGACACTGCACTCCAGTCTGGGCAACAAAGTGAGACTCTAACTCAAAAAAAAAAAAAAAAAAAAAAAGAGGTGAGAGCCAAGGGAAGGTCTTGGGCAGGATTCTTAGAGAAGAACCTGGGAAGGATGAATAATAAATGAAACTACCAAAAAGTGAAGAACAAGGAAGGATTCAGTGAATCCCTCATGCTACTGATATACTTGAATTACTATGTAAAGAAAGAAACACGTATCTGCTTATTGAGCTGAATAAAAAAGTTCTTTAAACCTTTGAATCCACAGATGCTAAATAACATTAAATAGGAAATAAATACATGTTATTTAGTATATTATTTAGATGCTAAATAAACTTAGTTGACAAGAAGAGCACGACATGAGAAGCAGTCTACCCTACTCACAAAATACAAAATGTGACAAAGAGAACATTAGTAATCCAGTCTATGTACACATACACGTCTTGGTCTAAATAGTCATTTTTACCAAGGATAGCATTGTTTGCTTACCACAAAAGAGATGTCCACAATTTGTTTCAACGGGGTAAGAGGCTTGATGTAAACAGATTGGACAGTACATGTCAGTGTAGAATTGCTGTCGAGCAGCAACAGGTACATCCTGATAAGATAATACATATACATATTTATACCTGACACAAATAGCTCTCAACATGATCTTATGTTCAATTACATTTAAGAATACAGGCCAGTGGGGCTCGGTGGCTCAGCCTATAATCCCGTGCTTTGGGAGGTTGAGGTGAGTGGATTGCCTGAGCCCGCGGGTTCAAGACCCGCCTGGGCAAGCGAGACCTCATCTCTACAATAAATCAAAAAATTAGCCAGATGTGGTAGTGCACACCTGTAGTTCCAGCTAAATGGAAGGCTGAGGTAGAAGGATTGCTGGAGCCCAGCAGGTCGAGGCTGCGGTGGCCGGGAGCGGCCACTGCACTCCAGTCTGGGTAAAAGAGTGAGACACCAACATACACACACACACACACACACACACACACACACACACACACACACACAAGAATACAGGCCAAGCACAGTGGCTTATGCTTGTAATCCCAGCACTTTGGGAGCTGAGGAAGGAGGATCAGCAATAGTACAAGAATCTATCTCTTAAAAAAAAAAAAAAAGAATACAGCCAATAGTGTGTAATCGTCATCACTTTTACATATGCAATAATTTAAGGTCTTATAATTTTGATAAATTTACAGGTCTATATTGTTTTATTTAAACTGCATGACATCCTGAACACAATTTAAAGATTAAAAACCTAGATTAGCTGGGCTCGGTGGCTCAGCCTGTAATCCCGCGCTTTGGGAGGCTGAGGTGAGTGAATTGTCTGAGCCCGCGGGTTCGAGATCTGGCTGGGCAACTTGGTGAGACCCCATCTCTACAATAAATCAAAAAATTAGCCGGGCGTGGTAGCGCGCGCCTGTAGTTCCAGCTACTTGGAAGGCTGAGGTGGAAGGATCGCCGGAGCCCGCAGGTCGAGGATGCGGTGGCTGGGAGTGTGCCACTGCACTCCAGTCTGGGCAACAGAGTGAGACTCCAACTCAAAAAAAACAACAACAAAAAAAACAAACCTAGATTAACTCAGGAATTCCTCTTTTCTATTTGAATAAGTAAGTTATTCTCAGTAACACAAGACTGAGCTAATACATAAGCTAAGAATAAAAAATGTCAAACTATTTTCTAAGTCTTAGCTTTTTTTCACTTTTAACAGTATTAACAGTTCCTCTTGAGAGTGTTGGATGTTTGCTGTACCTCACATAAGACCAGAATTAAACTTTCAGAGACGAGTATTTGGTCATCTTGGAAGCAGAAAAATTTAGGACCACTGGTAACCTGAACTTGATCCTTCATAGTCATCTTAGTAAATGCTAATATGTTTCTCAGTTGCATCAATGTTGTGACTGAATATAAATGTTAATAAAATTACCAGTAGAAGAAGCATCCAGACTTCAAAGACCACTCTAGAGTGTACGTGCCATGAGGGCAAGGAATTTATCTGTAGGACTCAATGTAGTGCCTCAAGACCTAGAAAAGTATCTAAAACTAGTGTGTAATGTATACCTTTTAAAATACTTATTTAGCCGGGCTCAGTGGCTCAGCCTGTAATCCCGCGTTTTTGGGAGGCTGAGGTGAGTGGATTGCCTGAGCCCGCAGGTTCGAGACCCGCCTGGGCAGCAAGACCTCATCTCTACAATAAATCAAAAAATCAGTCGGGCGCAGTAGCGCATGCCTGTAATGCCGGCTACTTGGAAGGCTGAGGCGGAAGGATCGCCGGAGCCCAGCGGGCGAGGTTGTGGTGGCCGAGAGCGGCCACTGCATTCCAGTCTGGGCGACAGAATGAGACTCCAACTCAAAAAAATAAATAAATAAAATACTTATTTATCAAAACCCACTTTGATAGCACCCAAAACACATAATATATAAAGTAGTTAGCATTAAAAACATCTAATTACAGAAAAAATTTGTCAAATTTGCTGAATATAAGCTGTTCTTAATTGAATCAGATTTTTGCCACTCAATATTAAACCTTAATTAAAATTTCATATTTCCTTTAAAATTCCTGTTACCATAATATTCTGTAATCCAAGGTCACATCTTGATGTTATAGACATTGATGTCAGTTTTAATGGTACAGAAAAGAAAAATGCATAGCACTTAATGTTTCTCTCTCCTTGTCTCATTAATTTTTTAAATAAATTGACAAAAAGAAATTACCAGTGCTGTCCAATACAGTATCCTCAAGTCACATGTGACCACTGTGTACTTGGAATGTGGTCAGTGTGACTAAAGTACTGAATTTCAGATTATATTTAATTTTAACTAATTTAAATTTAAACAGCTACATGTGGTTCATTGGACAGTACAGAGAAGGTTATGCCACTAGCTTTATTCCAACTCTAAGAGCCATATGCTATACCTGAGGAAGATGTGAGGTAGATGCATGGGACTATGGTGCAAAGAAATCTGGAAGATCCTCTCAGTCTGGGACTCCTACATAGCTGAATCTGTTCATATAATCACTAGTGTAAATTTAAGCAAATTTTAGTCATCTACTATATTAGTGGGAATAATGATAGTTGCCTTACTTATCATGTTTGAAGATTAAATAAGATAGTTGTTTATGAAATCACTTTATAAATTATAAAACACTATCCCAGCATGAATTACTGATAACAACAGAGTACTACTAGTATGCTTGAACTATTCTTGCATCAACGAATTTAAGTTCCACGAGGGTGAAAATTTTTGTCTGTTTAGTTCACAATTCAGTTCCCAGTAACTAGAAAATGTCCGGCCTATAGTAGATGTTTAAAAGATATCTGGAGAATAAATAAACTATAAAACTCTTATTAACTAAAGTTTGATCTGGTAGGAAAGCAATTTTTAATTTCTTTAGTTGAAATCTCACTCTGTCACCCAGGCTGGAGTGCAGTGGCATGTTCATGGCCACCGCAGCCTCAACCTGCTGGGCTCAGGTAATCCTTCTACCTCAACCTTCTAAGCAGCTGGAACTACAGGCACATGCCACCATGCCCAGCTAATTTATTTATTTATTTACTGTAGAGATGAGTTCTCACCAAGTTGCCCAGGCCGGTCTCAAACCCATGGGCTCAGGCAATCCTCTCACCTCGGCCTCCCAAAGTGCTGGGATTATAAGTGTGAGTCACCACACCCAGCTGAATTTTTAATTTTTGATATTAGTTATCTCAGTATGAAGGTGTACAATATCCTACTTATTTCAACCTTATATTTCTGGTTCTTAGAGAGTCCATCTGGTAAAAAACAAATAAGAGACATTGAAGAAAAGTTTTTTTCTGTAACTAGTTTTGCTAACTTTGAAACTGAAGGAAAAAAACTCACAAAAATCAGTTGCCGTTCTAGTCATTTCTCTGTAGATCTTACACAGCATATGTCAGAAAGACTAGTTTTTAGCTAGGCATAGTGGCTCATGCCTGTAATCCCAGAACTTTGGGAGGCTGAAGTGAGAGGACTGCCTGAGCCCATGGGTTCAAGACCAGCATGGGCAACATGGCGAGACCTCGTCTCTACAATGAATCAAAAAAATTAGCTGGGCATGGTGGTGCATGCCTGTAGTTCCAGCTACCTGGAAGGCTGACGCGTAAGGATCGCCTGAGCCCAGCAGGTTGAGGCTACGGTGGCCCTGAGTGTGCCACTGCACTCTAGCCTGGCGCACTCTGCACAACTTGGCAAGATCTCTGACTCAAAAAAAGAAAAATTAGTTTTTCTACTACATTTTATTAAGGCTAATTAGACAGTGATTATTTCTGCACTAATAAATAATAGGAAAACTGTTATCTTTCAAAGTAAATTAATAATAAACCAAACATGAAAACATCTGAATAGATTAGGCAACTTGCCTAATCTGAAATAGCAAAAGATGGAAATGGTAAATGAAAATAAAAAATTAAAATATACAATCTGTAGAATAATATAAAGTAATTTGAAGCAGGAAAGAAGCCCATGTTTCCAAAAAGTAATTTATTTATTTATTTATTTATTTTTGAGTTGGAGTCTCACTCTGTCGCCCAGACTAGAGTGCAGTGGCCGCTCCCGGCCACCGCAGCCTCGGCCTGCCGGGCTCCGGTGATCCTTCCGCCTCAGCCTTCCGAGTAGCCGGAATTACAGGCATGCGCCACCACGCCCGGCTGATTTTTTTATTTTTTGTAGAGATGAGGTCTCGCTGCCAGGCAGGTCTCGAACCCACGGGCTCAGGCAATTCACTCACCTCAGCCTCCCAAAGGCGTGGGATTACAGGCTGAGCCACTGAGCCCGGCGCAAAAAGTAATTTATTAATGCTTCATCACAATTTCACATGAAAGGGGAATTCTACTCCTTACATAAATACACATACTTTACCTGTTCTGTTTGAAGTTGTTCTCGAAGTACCCTTATAAGCTCTTGATTTTCTGGGTGAATGTTTTGATGTACATTTCTGTTGAACAGAATATAATAAGATTTGACTAAAAAATATTATCAGATGAATCCATTTTCTTTATAGGTCTACTTTTTACTTAGAACTAGCGGTAACTTAGTAAATGTAAAAGATGGCATACAACTATACTCCAATTCTAGGATTTACATTAAAGGATATTCTATGGTGATTCTTCTGAGATCACTGATCATTAGATGATTTTAGGTTTAAGTGGCGATGACAAACCAAGAGGCCTAGTACCTTGGAAATTTATTGTAATTGCAGGTTTACAAATAATAAAAAGAACAGTTAACACACTTGTTTCTTTTGTGAAATTCCTCCAAAATAAGCAGCTGTATCATTCTATTGTATTATTATGCATTTGAACACTTTTTCACGGCTCATTAGGTCTTTCTCCTAAATTTTGGGGCATGACGAGAGGGAAACAGAGTAGAAATTAAAATGTACTATAACGTAGAAAAGCCAAAACTTAAAATATCACTAACATTCTAACATTAACAATTAGAATGGAGAATCAAAGGCAAGAAGTTAGTGGCAGATAAAAATGGATGGGATAAGACATGGGAATATTGAAAATTAGATGTGTTGGTCAGGTTAGGGGGTGGAAATGAAGATTTACATCTGAATCACAGCTTAATTTAATATGGTTGTAGATGTTTTTGTCTAAACATAAATGTCTTAAACAATAATATTTTAGGTCTACATAATCCCAGGGTTATTTTATAGAAGACCCTTTACCCTCTAGGTAAGCCAATATCCAGCAAAGGCGAGAGGACTGCCTGAGTCCAGGGGTTCGAGACAAGCCTAGACAACTTGGCAAGATCTCATTTCTACAATAAATCAAAAAAGTAGCCAGGTATGGTGGCGCGCTCCTGTACCAGCTACTTGGAAGGCTGATGTGGAAGGATCACCTGACCCCAGCAAGTTGAGGTAAGAAACTCTAATATCTTAATAGGATAGGGAAAATTAAAGAAATCCATCCTACAATTGTTCAATTTTTAGTAAAAGAGGCAAACTTTAGAAAAGAGAGCTAACAAAATATAATCATTAGTGTAAAGAAGAATAAAAGCAATTTGAAGTCAATTATTGGGCTAGGTGTGGTGGCCAGCCTGTAATCCCTGCATTTTGGGAGACTGAGGTAAGAGGATTGCCTGAGTCTGGGGGTTCAAGACCAGCCTGGGCAACTTGGTGAGAACTCATCTCTACAATAAATCACAAAAACTAGCCGGGCATGGTGGCATGTGTCTGTAGTTCCAGCTACTAGACAGGCTGAAGCGGAAGGACTGCCTGAACCCAGCAGGTTAAGGCTGCAGTGGCTGTGAGCATGCCACTGAGCTCCAGCCTGGGCAACAAAGAGTGAGACTCCAACTAAAAAAAAAGTCAAATATTGAAGATGATCAACATAAAGTAATGAAACTACCTGCCTCATCAACAAGGGTATCTGTACAATGGATATTTGTATACCTAACACTTAATTGTACCCCACAATTTAAAATAAAAAATATATATTAAAAAAAAACTACTTGAACTGCTTAAACTCCATCAATCTTGATATGAAGTCGTTATTTTAAAATAAATTACATTCTTATGACTGAAGAGATGATCTATGAAAGAAAGCTACCTCTATATGAAAGGACTCTGTCAAGGTGCAATCTATCACAGGAACCACCTCATTTAAATACTAGCGAATACTTAGCTAAATGGCATTTCTTTTTTCTTTGAGTAGAAAACCATTCTAGCCAGGCATGGTAGCTCATGGTTGTACTCCCAGTACTTTGTGAGGCTGAGCGAGAGGACTGCCTGAGTCCAAGGGTTCAAGACCAGCCTGGGCAACTTGGCGAGATCTCATCTCTACAACAAATTAAAAAATTAGCCAGGCATGGTGGCATGTCCTTGTAGTTCCAGCTACTTGGAAGGCTGACGTGGAAGGATCACCTGAGCCCAGTAAGTCGAGGCTGCGGTGGCCGTGAGTGTGCTACTGCACTCTAGCCTGGGCAACAGAGTGAGACACTGACTCAAACAAACAAAAACACTGCAAAGGACAGGCTGACTCCCTTGTTAACAGTTAATACAGCTAGTATCGTTAAGTTGAAGCCAGTACTCACTGATCATTCCGAAAATCCTAAGGCCTTTAAGAATTATGCTGGTCAGGACAGTGCTCATGCCTATAATCCTACCACTTTGAGGCAGAGGTAAGAAGATTGCCTGAGCCCATGGGTTCAAGACCAGCCTGGGCAACTTGGCAAGACCTCGTCTCTACAATAAGTAGAGTTGGAATCTCACTTTATTGCCCAAGCTGTAGTTCAGGGGCACACTCATGGCTACCCCAGCGTCAACCTGCTGGGCTCAGGCGATCCTTCTGCCTCAGCCTTCCAAGTAGCCGGAACTACAGGCATGCGCACTAACATGCCCAGCTGATTTTTTATTTATTGTAGAGATGAGGTCTTGCCAAGTTGCCCAGGCTGGTCTCGAACTGTGGGCTCAGGAAATCCACTCGCCTTGGCCTCCCAAAGTGCTGGGATTACAGGCTGAGCCACCGAGCCCGGCCCATTCTCTTTTCATTGGGAAAATATAGTGATGATGTTTCATAGTACAGGCACAAACCATGAGACTGGAAATTCTTTCCTTTGGCTTCTTTCTATAAAAGAGAAGATGTAGGAATTCTTAAATTTGGTAATAGAATATTTGAAAAATCAAAGTATAGACATAGAATAAGAATAAACAGCCCAAGCTACTGAATATTGTCTGTAAGCCCCAATGTAATGGTATTTGGATATGGGACCTTTGGGAAATAAACAGGTCATGAGAAAGCTTGCTTCCTGCTCTATTCTCTTCCTTGTGAAAACACAATAAAAAAACAGCCATCTGCAAACCAGGAAAGAGACTCTTGCCAGATACCAGATCTGATAACCCCTTGATCTTGGACTTTCTAGTCTCTGGAATTGTGAGAAATAAATGTTTGTTATGTAAGTCACTTAATCTATGGTTATTTGTTATAACAATCCATTCACTAAGACAATGATCAAGTGACTTTTGACAAGGGTGTCAAGACCATTCAATAAGGAAAGTACAGTCCTTAAACAAATGGTGCTAGGAACACTGAATATCCATATGTAAAAGAATGAAATTGGACCCTTTACCTCACACCATGTCCAAAAATTAACCCAAAATGCACCAAAGGATTAAACTTAAGAGTTAAAAAACAAAAGTTTTGGAAGAAAACAGAAGAAATCTTTGTGGCTATGGATTTGGCAATAGTTTATTTTATTTTATTTTATCTTTTAGAGACAGGGTCTTGCTCTGTCAAGCCAGGCTGGAGTGTAGTGGTACAACCATAGCTCACGGCTGCATCAAACTCCTAGGCTAGAGTGATCTTCCTGCCTCAGCTTCTCGAGTAGCTGGAACTACAAGTGCATGCCACCACCATGCCCTGCTAGCAAAGATTTCCTAAATATGAGACAAAAGCAAAGGCAATGAATGAAAATAATATATAACTTGAACTTCATCAAAATAAAAAAATATGTGGATCAAAGGATACTATTAAGGAGAGTGAAAAGAAAATCTACAGAATGGGAGATAGTATTGGGAAATTATATACAGGAAAACCTTGGGTTCTTTTGCAATTCACTTAATTGCCCTTTGCAGATATTGTTTTTTAATAGAGAAGGTGTTTGGCAACCCTGCATCGAGCAAGTCTATTGGTGCCATTTTTCAACAACATGTGCTTACTTCATCTCTGTGTTGCATTTTGGTGATTCTCACAATATTTCAGACTTTTCCATTGTTATTTTAGTTGTTATGGCAATTTCTGATCAGTGGTCTGTGATGTTACTATTAAAACTGTTTGCAGTGCCACACTCTACACCATATAAGATGGTGAACTTATTTGATAAAGTTGTATACGTTCTGATTGTTCCACATATGGCCATTCTCGTCTCTCTCCCTCTCCTCAGGCCTCCCATTCCCTAAGACACAATATTTAAATTAAGCCAATTAGCTGGGCTCGGTGGCTCAACCTGTAATCTCACGCCTTTGGGAGGCTAAGATGAGTGGATTGCCTGAGCCCGCAGGTTCACGACCCGCCTGGGCAGGCGAGACCTCATCTCTACAATAAATCAAAATATTAGCTGGGCGTGGTGGCGCATGCCTGTAATTCCGGCTACTCGGAAGGCTGAGGCGGAAGGATCACCGGAGCCCAGCAGGTCGAGGCTGCGGTGGCCGGGAGCAGCCACTGTACTCCAGTCTGGGCGACAGAGTGAGACTCCAACTCAAAAAAAAAAAAAAAAAAAAATTAAGCCAATTAATAACCCTACAATGGCCTGTAAGCATTCAACTGAAAGGAAGAGTTGCATATCTCTTTAAATCAAAAGCTAGAAAAGATTAAGCTTAGTGAAGGAGGTATATCGAAAGCCAAAACAGGCCTAAAGTGAGTCCTCTTGGGTCAGTTAGCCAAACTGTGAATGCAAAGAAAAATTTCTTGAAGAAAATGAAAAGCGCTACACTCGTGAACACACAAATGATAAGAAAGTGAAATAGTTTTATTGCTGATATGGAGAAAGCTTCAGTGGTCCTCCCTTAAGCCAAAGCCTAATCCAGAGCAAGGCCCTATCTTTAATTTTATGAAGGCTAAGAGAGGTGAGAAAGCTGAAGAAGAAAAGTTGAAAGCTAGTAGAGGTTCGTCATGAGGTGTGAGGAAAGAAGCTGTCTCCATAACATAAAAGTGCAAGGTGAAGCAGCAAATGCTGACACAGAAGCTATAGCAAGTTATCTTGAATATCTAGCTAAGATCACTTATGAAGGTGGCAACAGTAAACAATAGATTTTCAATGTAGGAAAAATACCTTTTCATTGGAAGAAGATAACAATAGGACTTTCATAGGTAGAGAGAAGTCAATGAGTGGCTTCAAAACTACAGGCCAGGCTTGGTGGCTCAGCCTGTAATCCCAGTACTTTAGAAGGCCGAGGTGAGTGGATTGCCTGAGCCCGTGGGTTTGAGACCA